CCAAACAGCATAAACTGGATACAAGAAGATAAATCTCCTACACCATGCTCTCCTCAGAGAGATTCAATGCAACCCAATGGACAGAACATACAACACACCAACTAGAAATAGAGACAACAAAACAGGACTAAAAAAAACAGGAATGGAAGCCGGCCAATGAGGATGGAAGCTGTCTGGGAAGGAGCCATAACCGAAGCAGAGCCAGCAACACCAAATCCCTCCAGCCAATCACCATACCCACACACCAGCAGGGGCTTGAAAATAGTAGTCGAGAACCCACCTGAGCAAGGACAGGAGCTCGTTGGAAAAGGAGAACCTGCTCACCCGAACCCAGATAACGCCACAGCAGTAGAAGAACTCTGAAACCCAGGTCCAAACCCACGCCATCAGCAGAAAAGAACCGGCATCACCCAGCCATACACCGCAACCACTACCCACAGCAAACCAAACACCACCTGAGTTGAGGTGGAATCTAGAGATTTTGGACAGTGTCCTTTAAAATTCGGTAAGATTTAAGAAAATTAGCTCTGGATTGTATTCTTTATTCTTGTCAAGTTTGAAGATTTTCAAATCCTAAATACATTTCATAATTCATGATCAAGTTCAAGTTTGTTCTTTCACGAATTTTCTTATGTGTCATTAATATATTCTTATGTGTCATTAATATTCATGATCAAGTTCAAGACATTGAGGAGAGTTCAATGAATAAAGGTATTTAACAAATAACCTTGACCCTTAAATTGATCTAATTTAACGATATAGATCTAACTTTACCGAACAAGTACTTGTTTACCCAAAATAACTTTCCATACACATTACCTTAAGCCACCTAAGCACCTGTTGTATATGAGCGACCTATTCTTTGAGCCTAGAGGCGTGCTTTCTAACTGCTTCCATTCACGAATCAATCAATCGATGGAATTTGAAATGGAACTGTGTATATATTCACATAGCATATATAGATTTCGAAGCAATAGATGTAGGAGAGAGAGATGATTGAAGAACTGGATCGGAGAGTCGACATTGTTAAGAATTGAGGTTCCATCTTAAAAGGTCAATCTTATTAAAATGAGTAATACAATTCTTTACAAGTTGGTTTATATTTACATCATTATTCGATGTGGGATTATATCCCTTAACATGTCCCCGCAAGATGTTGGTTCGTTTGAGCGGACCAATCTCGAAATCCATATGCTCACTTTGAAGTCTTAATTGGATCGAATTGCTCGTTAGAGTTTAATGGCTTCTGATACCATGTTAAGAATTGAGATTTCATATTAAAATGTCAACTTTATTAAGAGGAGTAACACAATCCTTTATAAGTTGATTTATATTTACATTTTTATTCGATGTGAGATTCTATCTCTTAACAGACAACTCATTCTTTGATTGATTTGATTTGATTTGGTTTGTGATTTTGGATTCAAGGTCCTTTTTGTGTTCTAAGAAGAAGGGAAAAATAAAAAGAGAAGGGAAAATTTCGCTAGTCCATTGAAAATGATAAGATTTTTTTTTTTAATTTTATTTTAAAAGTAGATCTACACTATCGAGTTAAATTAATTTAAGGGTTAAGAATATTTATCAAATGTCCATTGAATGCTTCCCAAATAGGGATGACAAAAAAACTCGTTCAACCCAAAACTCGTGGGGCCTTGCCCTAAATGGGGCAAGAATTACCCGCCTAATCGGGTAAACATGGCGGGGAAGGGACGAGGGTCATATCATTGTCCCGAAACGAGTACGGGGCGGGTACGGGAATCATAGTCCATATCCCGCTACCCGTCCCGTTTAAAGTTAATCTTAAATTTAAGTTTTTTATCAAATAAAAATAATAGATTTATCATATTTTTCAATAGAATATAATTTGTTTCTAATAAATTTCTAAAAAAGGAATAATATATACTACGTAAAGACATAAAAAAAGGGCGATAAATGGGGCCGGCCCTGCCTCTATCCCGCCCAGAACCGTCCTCGTCCCGCTTTAAATAGGTATGTGAATGCGACAAGGTAACAAAAATACTTGATGAAACGAGGGTGAGAATTGTCGACCCGTCTCATATCCGGCCCGTTGCCATATCTATATTCCCAAAGGTATTTGGTATATGATATTTAGCTAATGCAGTCAAATAAATATTATTGTAACTATATTCTTATCACTTTCATGATCAATTCATAATTGTCGAACTAATAATTAGGGTATCTAATTCTTACCAAATGGAAGCTTAATCTCGAAGCATATCTTCAATGCTTTAATTTCATTTGAAAAAAAAAATAAGCCCCCGTTTGGCACCCATTAATTTCTCATTCTCATTTCCATTCTCATTCTCATTCTTTATTTCAACCACACATTTTTCAAATAAAATAATATTACACACAAATCTAAAATTTTTCATCACTTTTCTACCACACATTTTTCCATCAATCACTATTCCAAAAGTTTCAACCCATTAAAATGGTTGTCAAACACTCGCTAAATTAAAAAAAAAAAAAAAGAGATCGGAATTGTAATGACCCTACCTCTTTGCCCAAATCGTTAAACTTATGTACTGTCCTCTTTAGAAGAGTATGAGCTTAATCTTATCCATCAAAGATTTCTATTTCGTCCCTCAAAATTCAAACATAAGACATCTACCTTAGACTTAAATTGAATCCCTGAAAAGTAACATATGCTCAGACTCTCTCAAAACGGACATATGAAAGAACAACTTGAACATAGAGATCGTATCGTTATAAAAAAAAAGTATATTTTTTTTTTGTAACTACTTGAGCTTTTGTACCTAAACCATTAACTCATTACATACTATCCTTTTTGGGAGAGAATGTACACATCTTACCTTAACATATTTAAGTCGCATCCTTTAGAATTCGAATTCAAGATGCCTTATAAAGATTTAAGTTGAATACTTGTAACAATTGGATAAAAGTGTAGACATACAGAAAATTCATACAGAGAACAACCTAGTAAATATGTTAGCAAAGCAAATTAATACCAACAAGTGTAGGAAGGATAACAAGATTACAACAAAAGTATCTTTAAATGAGAGAAATGTTGACAATAAAGTTAAAACTACAAAGTTAAAGTCACTTTTATTGACCTATATGCATTAAATACTAGGTGACTAGCATTTAATGCTAAGGGAAAAACTTACATACATTATTTACTAGGTGGCTAGCATTTAATGTTGAGTGAAAAGTGTACAGAAAATTTTGATGAAATTTTCCACTTTTGTCGTAATGAGCACAGGAAATGCAGCCAACTTTTTACTATTTGTGTTGAAAGCATGATACCGTAACTAATAAGGTAGGTGGCATAATTTCATTAAAATTTCATGTAGACTTTTTCTTCAGCATTAAATGCTATGCATACAAGTTTTCCTTTAATATTAAATGCTAGCCACCTAGCATTTAATGTATGTAGATCAACAAAAGTAGCTTTAATTTTGTGGCATTAGCTTTATTGTCAACATTTCTCCCACTTAAAGTCACTTTTGTTGTAATCCCTCTATCCTTCCTATATTTTCTATTTTAATGCCACTTACGTGGACAGAGGATGGACACTATGTAAAGTTGTCAGTATTGATTTGTTTTGTTAATATATATGCTAAGTTGTCCTAAATATGAATTTTCTGTATAGCTACACTTCCTTTTGCTCAATTGGAATCAAGGTTCAGCTTAAATCTCTCATAAAATAAAAGGTCTTCAGTTTGAATTATGGGGGCGCGACAGAAATCCGTGATGGTAAGTTGGACAAAAACTATCCCAAAGCGGACCGCTCGTAATAAGTTAACGACTTGAGTACAGAGCCTCGAATCCTTAAAAACTTATCTAATTGATAGTAGGTTTTAGCTTAAGTCTATCACAAGGTAGAAGTCTTGCGTTCAAATACTAAGGGACGCAACAAAAATTCATATGGGGCAAGATGGATAGATGCTCTCTCAAAGCAGATAGTATCTAATGAGTTAATGGTTTAGATACAGAAACTTGATTCATTACAATAACACTACCTTAGGATTCTGTCTTCCATCACAAAAGTCACTAGTCAACAAAACTTTTAGCCGTCTTACAAAATATCTTTCTAAATAACAAAAACCACCATTTTAGTTATTCAACGGGAGAAATAGAAATCAGAAGATTGACTGCTTTTAGACAGCACCAACAAGAGAAATACGAAAGCTCTTCGACATGGCATTAATATCTATTATACTTATCAATTCAGTACCAAATAACAATTGCACTTTATCTCCAAGGTTATTTTCCTCAAAAGTTTCTAGGTAAAATACGGCACGTATAAACTAAAATGAATTGCCAAATCCCAATATATTCAAGTTCGGTTCGTTGATAATAGCAAATTTTTTATATGCAATAAAACCCCATGCTATATTAAAGTAGGACAGTCTAAACTTAACCTTAAAATGTGGATGAAAACAATCCTTCAACTTCTCTCTTAGGCACAGACCAATTACAGTCGCCATGCTGCAATGCTGAATTGTTGGAGTAAAAGTTATCCTATAAATCAATAGAAATTCAGTAATTAAAAAATACTTCTAATCATGCCTAATTAGAATTGAAGTGTGAAATTAAGTTACGAATAATATCCCATTAATTGAGCTAATACTAATTATCTCAGGTAATCAATCTATTGAAATTAGTAAATTAAAAATTCTACAAAACAATAATCTAAGTATCAAGAGCTTGGACCAGTCTTCTTTAACAAAGGTTGATCTTTTAAGATGTAATCAAAGCCGAAAATGCTTCAATCTGTTTAAACCTCAAAAAAAGAAAATCCAGGACTGGTCCTCTCAGATGATCCACCATCCAGCAGCACGGTAAAATTCTCACGTTTCTTAAATATAAAAAAAATAAGGAGTTAGACTCCTAATAACAAGGTTGAACTTTTACCATGGAAACCAAGACTTAAATCGTTTCATGTCAGGTTCATATTAATTCAATAAGAATAATAAAGTTAGAATTTCCTTACTCATTTAATACCTATGAAAAAAAACTAAAAAATTGTACAAATTTCATGAATTAATACTCACAGAATGCGGCCGAGTTTCTCATCAACAGTAATGGACTCCTCAGAAAGCACACTGAGCTGTTCAAGCGAATACGGGTGCTCTGGATCTCTTATATCCCTCACATATTGTATCAATTTTATGTTAAAATAACAAAATCAATTAAATTCCAATAAATCCACCAAATTTTAATAATCAGAGTCAGCATTCACAGAAACAACTTGAAAACCTAAAAACTAGTCCAAATTTTAATTCAGATCACATACAATAGAATAAACGTGTGATTCTTGATCTTAAGAAGAAGAAATTCAAACAGAACGCCGAAAGTAAATAAAAAATGCAAAAGAAAAAGAAAAAGGATATCATAGATTTCCAGAGGATCAAGGGCGTCGTCATCATGTGGTTCTTCAGTGCGGGCGACCCTTTCCTTCTTAGCGTGGACCACCGGATTCGCGTTGATTAACCCCAGAGTCATTTCCACTTCTCCACCCCTCTCTGTAGTCTCTGGCCCTGATTTTTATCCTAGACTTTAGTTCACCAAATTGA